AAAGCTAAAAACAAAGAGAATCTTGAAAGCAACAACAAAAAACAACAAATGTATCACAAACAGTGGGTCTTTAATAAATTAGCAACTTATTTCTTGTTGGAAACTCTGGAGGTTAAAAGCACTTGGGGTGACACTTTTAAAGTACTGCAAGGGGGCCGACACTGTGGCTTAGAAGGGTTACCCTATAACCGGCATGTGGCCATCCGTATGGGCGTGGTTCATGTCTCCATCCTGCTCGCTGCTAATGTGCCTGAAAAAACAAGGGAAGAAGCCCACATGCTACGCCCATGTGGAAGACCTAGAAGGAACTTCAGACTTCAGCCTGACCCAGCCCTGGCCATTGTGGCCATTTGAGGGAATGATGGAAGATGAATTTCTTTGTAATTCTACTTTTCAAATAAATTTCTGGAAAATTCTAGTTGCTGAAAGGAAAACCAGGCAACCAGAACTGCTATATTAAAAAAATTTTTTTTTGTTACTTCAAATATAAAAGGCGATGTAAGGTGTTTGTAAGGTGTTTTCTGGTTGATCAGGCGTTGTGTGGAAGGTTAGGCTGCCACTGACACCTGCATCCCATTCAGAGTCTGGAACTGAGTTTGGCAGTACTTGGGATCCAGATACTTGGGGCAGACGTGTTAGGGTTAGAGTTAAACATCTCATGTTGTTGTACCAGTTTAAAAGTGGCTTTTCCGGGCCCGGCAGCATGGCCTAGCAGCTAAAGTCCTCACCTTGCACGCCTGGTATCCCATATGGGCGCTGGTTCTAATCCTGGCAGCTCCACTTCCCATCCAGCTCCCTGCCTGTGGCCCGGGAAAGCAGTCAAGGACGGCCCAAAGCCTTGGGACCTTGCACCCACGTGGGAGACCCAGAAGAGGTTCCTGGATCCTGGCTTCGGACCGGCATAGCATCGGCCGTTGTGCTCACTTGGGGAGTGAATCATCGGACGGAAGATCTTCCTCTCTGTCTCTCTTCCTCTCTGTATATCTGACTTTGCCATAAATAAATAAATCTTTTTTCTAAAAAGTGGCTTTTCCACTTTCAGTGGAGTTCTCTGCTAATGTACGTGGGAAAAATCAGATGATGGCTCAAGTTCTTGGTTTTGAGTCCCTGTCACATACGTGAGAGACTGAGATGGAGTTCACGCCAGACTTTGACCTGGCTCAGCCCTCGCTTTTGTTGAGGGAAATGAACTAACTGATTGGTTCTTTCTGTCTTGGTCACTTGACCTTCCAAATGAACGCATCTTTAAAAAAATAATAATGTTCTGTAAACAGAAAAAAAAAAAAGAAGTATTGCTTGGCATAATTCTGCCTAAATAAAATGAATAATAATATATTCTTAAGCAAATAATAACTAAAACTCACTCATTAGCAAGCCTACCAAAAATACTAATGGGAGTCCATCAGATACCTGACCATTGCTTCTTCAGCAAGAAGGAATGTATCACACTGATACAGATTACTGCATAGGTAAATATTAAGGGCAATGCAAAGAGCCGTCAAGAAGTTCATAGAAATGTGTATTATGAAACAACGAGGTATAGATTTAGAAAAAAAACATTGTATCCAAATAAACTTTAAAATTTACTTAAAAAGCCTAGGAACAGAGACAGACAGATCTTCCAGCCGGTGCATACAAGGAAAGGATTTAGCCACTAGGCTACTGTGCTGAACCCTGAAAAACTTTTAAAAGTAATTTTAGGGCCTGGCACGGTGGTGCAGTGGTTAAGGTCCTCGCCTTGTACTCCCGGGATCCCATATGGGCACCGGTTCTAATCCCGGCGGCCCCACTTCCCATCCACTCCCTGCCTGTGGCCCGGGAAAGCAGTTGAGGACAGCCCAAAGGTTTGGGACCCTGCACCCGTGTGGGAGACCCGGAAGAGGCTCCTGGCTTCAGATCGGCATAGCATCGGCCGTTGTGCTCACTTGGGGAGTGAATCATCAGACGGAAGATCTTCCTCTCTGTCTCTCCTCTCTGTATATCCACCTTTCCAATAAAAATAAAATAAATCTTTAAAAAAAAAAAAGTACTTTTAAAAGATTCATTTTATTTGGCAGAGAGAGTTACATAGAAGTAGAGGTTAAATCAATGTCTCTGGGATGTTGTTGCTGCAGATGGTAGCTTTGCGTGATATGCCACAGGAAAACTTTAACTAGAAAAACTGAAGACCAGGGTTAGTGTTTGATTAAAATAATGACTAAATCAGAGCCTGGCATGACGTCCTACTTCAAATTCCAGCTTCCTGTTAATGTGAACCTTTCAAGGCAGCAAGTCACAGCTCAAGAACTTGGTTCCCAGCCACTCTGCTCCTCCTGGCTTTGTCCTGGTCTGACCTTGTCTGTCGCAGGCGTTTAGAGAATAAACCAGTGGATGGAAGATCTCATCTGTCTACTAGCCTGGGCATTCAAATAAAGAGTTTTGGGAAAAAAAAAAGAAGTCTCAAGTTATGACAATCGGTATTGGAAAAGGGAACACTGCTCTTGACTTTAGAGACAGTGGCGGTAACTCAAGACGCTGGGTTCTGGCCACTGACATGGAAACTTGGATTGAGTTCTTGGCTCCCAGCTTTAGTCCAACCTACCTGCTGCAGCCATTTGAGTAGTGAACAAGTGAATTAGATTTTTATTCATCTCTGTTTCCGTCTTTTTGTGTGTGTTTTCCAATTAATATAAATAAATAATAAGCACAACAGGATGCTATTTCACTGTTATTAGGATATCTGTAATTTTTTTTTAATGGAGAATAGCAGGTCCTGACAAATGGGCGGAGAAATTGGACCTCTTAAATTGCTGGTAGGATTGTGAAATGGTGAAGACATTTTGGAAAACTGTACGTGCTCTGCAGATATTATACACAGCTATCATGTGAACTATCATGCCATTCCTAAACATACACTTAAGAGAACTGAAAATTCATTCACACTTTATTACTCATAATAGTGGAAACTCACATTGTCCACCAACAGATGGATAAGAAAATTGTAGAATGTAATTTAGCAACAATAAAACCAAAATATGGATACATAGTACGACATAGCTGAACCTTGAGAGTGTTGTACTAAGTGATAGGCACCAGACACCAGAGACCACAAATTACATGTTCATTTGTGTGCAACGTCCACAAAAGGGAAATTGATAAAGACACAGTTGATTAGTGGTTGCCGAGGACTGGGAGGATGGGGAACGTTGAGTGCTCATTAAGACAAGGTTTCCCTTCCAAGTGATGAAATGTGCTGTAATTAGGTGGTGCTGGTATAACTGTACAAACATAACTTTAAGACCACTGAATTATACTTAATATGGTAAAATCTTTGGAATGTAAGATGCCGGTTGGAGTCCCCACATCCCATCTCGGAGTGTCTCGTTTGAGTCCTAGCTCCACTGGATTTCAGCTGGTTGTTAATGTGTGTGCAACAGCAGTGATGACTCGGGTCCTTCAGTCCTGCCAGCCCCTCTGGAGACCTGGAAGGAGCTCTCAGCCTCTGGCTTTGGCCTGCCCAGCCACAGCTGTTGTTGGTGATAGGATTATACAGTATGTGGAAGATACCTCTGCATGTCTCTGCCTTTCAAATAAATAAGAATATCTTCAAAATAAATGCCATCATTGTAGGTCATCCTTATGTCCATAGCTTTATTAAGCACTATACAGCTTAACTTAAAAGACAAAGTATGTGAGATAAATTTAATAGAAAGATGTCTACTTAAATGTATTAAATTATAAATATTTTCTTCTATAGGGTTTTTAAGACTTATTTACTTTTATTGCAAAGTCAGATATATAGGGAAGAGGAGAGACAGAGAATGATCTTCCATCTGTTGATTCACTACCCAAGTGACCACAACGGCCGGAGCTGTGCCAATCCGAGGCCAGAAGCCAAGAGCTCTTCCGGGTCTCCCACGCAGGTGCAGGGTCCCAAGACTTTGAGCTGTGCTTGACTGCTTTCCCAGGCCACAAGCAGAGAGCCAGATGGGAGGCTGGTCTGCCAGGATTAGAACCGGCACCCATATGGGATCCTGGGGCATTGAAGGCAAGGACTTTAGCTGCTAGGTGACGGCACCAGGCCCACCAGTAACGCTTTACACTTAATCTTAGCCAAAAAGCCGAAAAGCAATCCACCAGTAACTTTTTTAATTACCTTTTTAAAAATTTGTTTAGAAGAGTGATAAAGAGAGGTCTGCTATCTGCTGGTTCAGTCTCCCAAACTGTCACAATAGCCAGGACTAGGGCAGCCAGGAACTCCATCTGGATCTCGTGCATTGCTTGGAAGGAGTCCAGCAACTTGGGCCGTCTGTTGCTGCTTTCTCGGGTGCATTAATAGCAAGTTGGAGCAAAAGTGGAGCAGGTGGACTAACTGGCATGCTTATAGGGATGCTGGTTTTTCAAGTAGCCGCATAGTCCCATGTACCGCAGCATCAGTCCTCATCACTTAAAAGAACATGTGCTCCCCTGATTCACTTCCCAGCTGCCTGTAACAAAGGGCTGAGTCATGGCTGAAGCTAGGAACTAGAACCTGAATCCAGGTCTCCCGCATGAGCAGCAGGAACTCGGTTACCTGAGCCATCACTGCTGCTTGCTTTGGCAGGAAGCTGGGCATCAGACACAGGGCCTCCCGCATAGCGTACCAGCATTTTAACCAGGCAAAAATCAGCTCTGCTACACTGTTCAAGGTCAGATTCATTATGACCCAATAATTTATATATAGCAAAAGTGTTACCTTTCATTTGATAGTATTTTGGTATAAGTTGTATGAAGTAATGTGTCATATTAACTCTTCACAACTAATGCAACCACAACTTCTAAAAGTTGGAGAATTTGAACAGGTTTGTAAGATAACAGTGTTATGTTGCTCTTTGAGCTGTTTTTCATGATTATTTCATATATAAATCTTATAAAATGTATCTATTACGTGGAAATTTTACTCTTGTTCGAGAAAGCAATTATACAGTCAGCTAAAGATGATTATTTATATTATAAACTTACATGTGTACTTTTCTCTTAAGGCCAAGCAAATAAAGTAGCCAAAGAGGCCGCTAACAGATGGACCGGTACGTATCTCGATGGCACTGCTCTCATTAAGCACCTTGCAGTTTTACAGTGTGAAGCCAGCTGCCTTTGTTCAAGAAAGGATTTTGCTGTAGATGCATGCATTACTCGAGGTTTTTTTTTTTCATCTATTTAATTATTTGCTTGGGATTTTGTAAGTATCAGGTCTTTTTTAACTTTTGCATTTAGAAGATACTCATACATTTTTGAAGAGCTTCATAGAATCCTGAAGATTTGCAAAAAAAAAAAAAAGTGTCATTGCAAATAGTATCACTGATTGAGGGCTGACTGTGTGTCTAGTTACGGGAGGGAGTCTGGAACATTTGCCAAAGTAACATTGTGAGGTTGGTATGATTAGTCTCCATAATGTTTAGGAAGAAACTAAGACCCTTGGGACTCCAAGGCCACAAGTGCACCTGTCAGAGGTGCAGGCCATGAATCCAGAGTCCAAGCTCTTGCTCGGCCTGCTTTCGTGTAACTGCTGGACTAGCCCATTTGCCAGGGAGTCACCTACGATGTAGTCCAAGAAATGGAAGCTCACAAGGCAGTGTCCACGTCTGAAGGCTTAACACGAAGTTAATAAATGGTCATTTCTGGGAGATATATAAAAGTATGATTCATATTGTTAAACTTTCTCAGAGAATTTTACTGGTGCTTTTCTCATATTTAATTATAAGCTAATGATAATTAAAGTTTTCCAGCCTGCTCAGTCCATAATGCCTTCACTCATATTACTCATCTCATTTTGTTCCTGTGAGAAAACAGAGATAAGATTAAGTTGATAGAGAGGTGCCCAAAGCTCACAGCGATGCATTTAGGTAAAGGATAGCAATCATTAATGAAAGAACAGGCTTAAGCCAAGTGTCCTTGACATCCCATGCAGGCCCCTGTTTCACAAGCCTAATCATTGTTTTCTAGTCTATTTTAGAATTAAGAACATCAGTAAGGTAGATATAATTGGCCGTTGAAGTCCTATAAAGTTGTAATTGTATTTATTAGAAAATTGCTTCTTTTTTTTGTTTTAAGGTTTATTTATTTGAAAGTCTGAGTGGGCGAGACAGATTTCTCATTCACTGACTCACTTCCCAGATGGCTGCAAGGGCCAGGGCCGGACAAGACTGAAGCCAGGAACCAAGAGCTTCATCATTCTACCCAGGCCATTGGGATAGTGTGGACTGGAAGTGAAAGAGCCAGGGGCACAAAACAGTGCCCCCAAAAGATGCTGGCATCGCAGGTGGCAACTTTATCCACTGTGCTACAATACTGGCCCCTACAGAATTATTATTTTTTTTAAAGATTTATTTTTATTATTTTTTTAATTGGAAAGGCGGATATACAGAGAGGAGAGACAGAGAGGAAGATCTTCCGTCCGATGATTCACTCCCCAAGTGAGCGCAATGGCCGATGCTATGCCAATCCGAAGCCAGGAGCCTCTTCCGGGTCTCCCACGCAGGTGCAGGGTCCCAAAGCTTTGGGCCGTCCTCGACTGCTTTCCCGGGAGCTGGATGGGAAGCGGGGCCGCCGTGATTAGAACCGGCGCCCATATGGGATCCCGGGCGTGCAAGGCGAGGACCTTAACCACTTGCGCCACTGCGCCGGGCCCCAGAATTATTTTTTACACAGGATAATGCTTTAGCAGTAAGGATGAAAGAGGGTAAAAACAGCCATTAACATTTAAAAGAGAGGGTAACAAAATGTCTTACAAACTATTGGTAAATTGTAAATACAATACTAATGTAAGAGAAATTAAAATTTTTGAGCATGAATTAAGAACCAAAAGGACTTTTTAAGTTAAAAATAAGAGAGTCTTAAGGTGATTTCGCCCAGTGATATAGAGCAAGGCAGCTGCATGCTGAGTGGGAAGAGCAATCACATACATGTAGTGGGAGGATGCTTTGAAGGAAGCCAGCTGAGCCCTTCCGTGCTGCTTGCCCTCTGGAACATCTCTGAACCTGCTTCCTTCTCCGTCCAGCCTGGATAATGACTTCTCACGGTCAGGGCCATAGAGTAGCAAAGGTCTGCCGGCCCCATAACACAATTTTTTTCTTATCTGTTTGCTTTCCAATCCCACATAGGCATCCAAAGTTATTAGAAAAGCAGTTGGAACAAGCTTTCCCTCTTGTGTTATTATCTGCAGAAGAACCTGGAGCTTTTAAAGCACTGTGGGAGGCAGGTATTTTTAGAACTAGAGAAGCAGCTGTTGAGAAGCCTGCTTCCAGCGGAGGCTGCAGCCTACTCCCATCCACCTAAGGCCTGCTGGGACACGATGGAGGCCGTGGAGAAAGCAGAAAGCTCAGGGTCAGTCTCACTAGCACCTACGACTCAAGACTGCCTTATCGCTGTTAGTTAAGGTGTGCTTTCTGTTTACTCAGGAAAGTCATTAAAATGTATGTAGAATTGTGAACAGCGGCTGTGTAAGGAATGAGAGCTTACTTTGGGAGTATTACAAGGACGCTTCAAAGATACGTGGAGAGGCAGGCATTTGACCTCGTCGTTAAGATGCTGGTTACATCACCCGAGCCCGATATTAGAGTACCTGGGTCTGATACTCACTTCTGACTCCTGACTCTGGCTTCGTGAAATGCAGACTGTGGGAGGCAACAGGTAACAGCTCAGGTGGTTAGGTCCCGCTGCCCATGTGGGACACACAGATTGAGTTCTGGCTTCAAGCTTCACCACAGCCCATCCCAGCGATGCGGGCATCGAGAGAGTAAGCCAGGAAGTGGGGCTACACCTGCCTCTGTTGAACTTCCATTATATATAGAAATACCACCACTAAATGTTGTGTGACAGCAAGAATCCATAGTAACAGACTATAGCATGTGGAAAGCTTGTTTAATAATCAACCTAGATTTTTTTTTTTCTTTTCGAAGAGCCACTTTGACTTACATACAGAGCACAGATCTCATGCATTTTATGCATGCAGTCTTAAACCCAGAATGATGCTTCTCTCTTTCCCGCCTGGATGGTGCCAGAGAGACTCCGAAGGGGACCAGTGTGAGTTCCAAAACACAGCCTCAGTGCAAATGATATTGCCTGGCCTGCTCCTATAGGTGTCTTGGCCATACCGCTGAATGAACAAATTCTTTCTGTCTTAACATACTTCTTTAAAAATAACCAAAAAGTTCATTTGTTATCCATTTATAGAAGTTTCTACATAACAGGAAAATGATTTGATAGGGAAGGAGCTCGCCTATCTGGAAGGTAGCTTAAGGTCAGATATCTAGCGGCCAAGGAAGTGTTCCATCAGTCACCTTTTAATAGGTCCGTTAGAGGTCTGACGCAGTAGCCTAGCGGTTAAAGTCCTCGCCTTGCACGCGCCAGGATACCATATGGGTGCCAATTATAATCTTGGCGGCCCCGCTTCCCATCCAGCTCCCTGTTTGTGGCTAGGGAAAGCAGTCGAGGATGGCCCAACGCTTTGGGACCCTGCACCTGCATGGAAGATCCAGAAGAGCCTCCTGGCTTCAGATTGGCGCAACTCCAGCCATTGTGGCCATTTGGGGAGTAAACCAGCAGATGGAAGATCTTCCTCTCTTTCTCTCCTCCTCTCTGTTCATCTGACTTTGCAATAAAAATAAATTTAAAAAAATAGGTCCATTAGACGTCACTATCGAGGTTTTTATTTATAGTGACTTGAATATGCATCACTTCTCGGTCTTTTGGCTAAGATTAAGTGTAGTAATGTGAACATGGATGATGGCGTCTTGTCCCATGTGAGCCCGGGACCGAGACCGTTCAGTAGCTCTGCTCAAGTGCTTCATTTCCTATCTTCTCATCTGATTCTGTTCCCTGCAAGCTTCCCAAAGGGTCGTGTCAGCTCTCGTGCCCCATAAAGCCTCCTGTGTTTCCCTATGGGGCCTTTGCTGGAAGCAGTACACGGAATACTTGGCCTCTTCTCTGTGGCACAGACACTACTTTGGAAGTATTTGTAATTATTTTTCTCTATATTTGAAGCTATTCCTTCATACCTGTACCACTCTGAGTACCTGTCTGTCATAGCAGTGGGAAGGAAGAACGGACTATGTAGACATGATAGAACTAAGGGAGTTTGTTGTACTTTTGGTGTCATCTCTTAGGCTGTTAGGCAAAGTAGAGATCTGTTTTGAGTTTTCTATAACATTATAATTGAAACATGAAGACATTTTATTAATCTAGTTCACAGGATGTGATAGTGTTTACCTTAGAAATAAAACATTTGTTTATTTTTATTTGAAAGGCTAATTTTACAGAAAGAGAAGGAGATCTATAGAAGAAAATCTTCCATCCACTGGTTCGCTCCCCAAGTGTCTACAGTGGCCACAGCTGAGCCAATCCAAAGCTAGGAGCCAGGAGCTTCCTCTGCGTCTTCCACATGGGTACTGGGTACCAAGGACTTGGGCCATCCTCCACTGCTTTCCTAGGTAATAATCAGAGAGCTGGATTGGAAGTGGAAAGCTGGCACCATAGGACCTGTAGCAGTGGAGGACATCCCAAAGCCTTGGGACCCTGTACCCACATGGGAGACCCAGAAGAGGCTGGCTCCTGGCTTTATATCAGCTCAGTTCCATTCATTGTGGCCACCTGGGGAGTGAACCAGCAGACAGAAGATCTTTCTCTCTGTATCTCTTCCCTGTACATCTGCCTTTCTAAAAAGTAAATAAATCTTAAAAAAAAAAAAAAATCTGTTTCTTCACCATCCTGGATGCTTGCAGTCCGTGATCAACAGATGCAGTTAAGCCAGGCTGGAGCCAGGAGCTTCATCTGGGTCTCCCACTTAGGTGGCAGGGCCCAGACACCTTAGGCCATGTTCTGCTTTCCCAGGCCATTAACAGGAAGCTAGATCGAAAGGCAAGCAGCTGAAACATGAACTGGCACCCACAACGGATGCTGGCATAACAGCCACTATGCCACTCTGATGGTCCCTAATAATACATTTTAATTGTATGTGTAAATGTGCACATTAATGAAATCTAATAAAGCCTGTTGTTCCCAGGTACAGCACTGTTAGCATTTCAGTGCTGCCTGCACCTCAGTGCCTGTACATAGACCCTCCCCAAGGGGAAGACTTGCAGTAGGTTGCTACTAGTTTTGTCTGTTGTTACACTGGCAGGATGAGGATCTTTCACCAAGTCTCTAAACAGAGTTTGATTTAATTCCTTGGGAATTATTCCTTTACATAGATGTAACACTTACAGTGGTGAAGCGAAATTTAAATCGTGCTGAGCGGGGACACTGAGGCCACATCTGTTGCTGTTAGTCTTAAGGGAGGAGGACCCCCTTCCCTCCTCTTCCTCCTCTTCCTCTCCTGCACACTAGCCAGATTGTGTGGAAGCCATTACCCTTAGCAGGGGGAGGAGGAAGGATCTGGAGAAAATGTGCCCCTGGGGGCCCTGAGAGCAGGCAGCTCCTGCTCCTGGGGTGACAGAGCCCTGGGCCCTGCTGTGGGCATGTGGCAGGGACACCACGAACCTGTCCTTGTCTTCATAGTGTCTTCATGAGTTCTTGAACAGCAGTTAGCAGAATTTCACAATATTGTGATGCCTTTCACTTGTTCAAAATACAGGAAATTTCTTATTACAGCACATCTAAAAGTACCAAAATGATGAAAAGAGCAGTGAAGTGTTTCATGATTGTGATTTGGTTTTGATTTTCAAAATATTTCTTGGTTTTCTTTATAGATAACATCTTTGCAATAAAGTCTTGGGCCAAAAGAAAATTTGGATTGGAAGAAAATAAAATTGATAAAAATTTTGGAATCCCCGAAGACTTTGACTACCTGGACTGAGTCGCTTGCTGCTGGGGATCTGGGAACTTGTGACTGTCTCAGTCTCTGATGCTTCCTGCCCAGTGTGCTGAATTGCCGCTACCTGTCAGTGTATCTGTCACTCTTTGTATTCTAAATAAAGTGTAAAGTCCAGATGTTCTTCACCCTTTTTGGCAAAAGAAAACAAGGGGGAACCATGTGAGTAGAGCCATCTGTCTACTCAATGGAATGAGGTTGACTGATGATATCTTAAAGATCAAAGTGTTGACATGAGAACTTTTTGGTGTTGTTTGATTGCTTTAGTAAGTGCCATGCCTGCATTGGAAGGCCCTGTCATACATACACACTTATATATAAATTTTGGAAGTAACCCTAAAACCTTGAGGACCGTTTGGCTGGATCCCCACATCTGGTGGACACTGGGTATGTGTGACACTGTCTACCACGTCATCTCTGCACGTTACTCACAGAGGAAGTCACTTCAACGTAGAAGAGGTTTCAGTGGCATCAAGTGGGAATAAGCGAACGGCCTTCTGTCCTGATTTTTGTACTTTTTATATGGTATGCTTGGCTGTATATGTGCAGCACACATCATCAACTCCGTAGACTTACTGAATATTTTAAGTATATGTGCTGCCAAAGCGAGCACATACTTACTGAATATTTTTTAACTCAAAGAAGAATGGATCGCAAAATAACATTTCCCACGTTTGTGTATGTCATTTCCATTTGATAGAGTATTTGCAAACACTCCAAAACAAAGGGGTTAAAATACCATGAGCATAACGCCCTTTACACACATGTCTTTATGTTTTATTTTTCACTATGTCCAATTTTGATACTCTGAAGGAACTAGAATGAAACACTCCATGTACCTGAAATGACCCAGATGGCATGCACACCATTTGCTGGTGAATCGCGTTTATGCTGCTGGCAGTTGCTCTGGCCTCAGTCACTTCCTGGAGGTGGGCAGGAGCAAATGGCCCATCTTTCTTTGTACTGGAGGCTGATTCATGTGGCTTCAAGGAACCAGCTCTCCTCGTAGCAGAGAAAGGATTGGAGGAAAAGAGAACGGACAAGAAAGAATAACCCACCGTAGTACACACAAGTGTTTCCCCAAATACTAGGAATTGCAGAATGTTCTCATTTGCTGTTACTGAGGATTACTGCTTCCTTGTTTCCAAAGAAAGTATATGAGATGTGTGTGTTCAGAAAGTAACCACTAATGGTTTTGTACAGATGTACTATTACATGTGTTTAAGCAGCTTTAAAAATGATGTATTTGAGAAGCAAAGAGAGAGCCTTTCCTCTGGTTCATTTCCCACACTGGCCCAAACTGAGTGAGGCTGAAAAGAGCTATAAATTCAGTCCCCAAATTTAGCATCCCTCAGGGGTGGCAGGGACCCAGTCACTTGAGTCATCTCGCCTACTGCTTCCCAAGTACGTCTTGACAGGTTAATGGATTCCATGGAGCAGAGATTCAGATCCAGGCCTGTGATACAAGCACCCCAAAGGGTGGGTCAGCCACTTGGCCAAACATTTTAATTTTTTTATTTTAATTTGATTCTGTATGGGGATTAGCCCTGCAATTAATAGAATGGAAACTTACGCAGTAACATGAACAACGTGTTAGCATTACACCATCTCCTGGAATGCTAACATCCAATATCACAGTGCAAGTTGGGGTCCTGAGTGCTTCGTTTCTGATCCAGCACCTTGCTAATGCACGTGGGAAGGCAGCAACAGGTGCCCCAAGGGCTTGCAACCCTGCCTTCCATGGGGGAGACGGGTGTGGAGTAGGCTCTGGTGTTAGGGCTGTTTGGTGAATAAACCAGTGATGCATGAGGTTGTGTCTCCCTCTTTGTCACTCTACCCTTCAAATAACAAGTAACAGCTGAAAGGAGCAGAGGGAACTGATTTCATATGGAATATTCGTCTACTTTTGGATTCTAAATACATTCATTCAAATTAAGCTCACGAGCATAGTAACAGGGATTGTGTTATGGGGCAGCAGGTTAAGCTGGCACTTGAAATGCCAGCATCTCACATGAGCCTCTGTTCAATTCCTGGCTCTCCACTTCTGATAGATGCCAGTTCATGTCCAGACTGCTTTACCTCCCTCCAGCTTCCTGCTAAAGGCCTGGCAAAAGTGACGGGAGAGAGCACAGTAGCCTAGTGGCTAAAATCCTCCCCTTGAATGTGCCGGAATCACATATGGGCGCCAGTTCGAATCCTTACCACCCTGTCTCCTGTCCAGCTCCCTGCTTGTGGCCTGGGAAAGCAGTGGAGGACGGCCCAAAACCTTAGGGCCCTGCACCCACATGGAAGATCCGGAAGAAGCTCCTGGCTCCGGATCACCATAGCTCCGGCTGTTGTGACCACTTGGGGAGTGAACCAGCGGACAAAAGATCTTCCTCTCTGTCTCTCCTCCTCTCTATATATCTGACTTTCCAATAAAAATAAATAAGTCTTTAGAAAAATTAAAAAGCAACAGAAGACTGTCCAAGTGCGTGGGAGACCCAACAAAGCACCCTCTCTTGGCCCAGTCCTGGCTGTTACAGTCACCTGAGAGTGAAATAGCAGATGAAAGTTCTCTGAGTTTTGCTCTTTCTGTAATTCTGACTTCCAAGATAAATTTTTAAATCTTAAAACGGAATAATAATGAAAAATCCCATGGGCATTGGTTCAGCCAAGCTCCCAGTAATCCATCTTGGGTTAGTTTTGTTATTGCTAGAATGTTAGTGCAACTTAGAACTAGAATCACACTACAGATGAACAAAGACAAATTTTAGCTATACTGTGATTGAAAAGTCAGTGTCTTTGCAACGAATTAGGACGTTTAAAATGTTATGGGTGCAGCCAGTGATAGCCAACACATTGACGGGGGCAAATGAAAGTTGGCTGTGTTCTCTACCCTCTGTCCTGAAGGTGGGTCCTAACAGCAATGGAATGTTAATTCCATCCTCAACCACCCCCCTACATCCTATATTGCCAGGATATTGAAAGTCCAATTAGTCTAGGTGTTTTTAGCTACAAGCCCAGTTCCTGTTCCCATCCCAATGAGCACTATCAACTCCTTAGCCCACAACACTTAGGTATTCGCTCCTGCTCACCTGTGACTCACCTATCAACTGAGAGGGGACACTATTGCATTGTTGTGTAACCACTCCCCTCACAAGCCCCTTTAAAAGGCCTGGGAAGCAGGGGCTTGCTCTCTTTCTGGTCAGGTACTTCCATTACTCTGGTACCTTGACTCTTGGCTGACCCAGGACAGGTAATCCCCTGAGCATGGTCCCTGTGTACTGCTCAGATGGGACAATGGATATAATAATGTTGTTTCTGATTTGTGTACTGTCAGGAGTTCCAGGAGAGATGAGGCCTAGCAGTGATGGAATGTGGGCAGAGAAGCCAGGGAAAGGTTAATGTCTACAGCTTTGGAAGTGTGTCCAGATTATTCATTGCATGTCTCTTAGGATAGCTTATATTGTTGGGGAAGCTGAGACATAAATCTTCGGCTTAATGGATGGACTTAAGGGTAATGACCATTTGTTCCTTTTGGGATTGTGATTGTGTGGATTGCTGTGTGGACTTGTGATTTGCTATTGTGCTCTACTGTCACCAAGCTTGATTAATAAAGACTCCTTAATAAACCTTAGACATGTCTGGTGTGATCTCACTCGCACCCCATAACAAAAAGGGCTGGCATCCATCTCAACCAACCTTCACGTGTTATTTTTAAACTTCCAAAATTCTGTTCTGTCCTGTTTTTAAAGGATTCTAACAACAATTTTACAGTGTTATGAGAAGCTTCCCAACTGTCCAGGGCAGATCAAACCTCCGAAATGCGCCTTCCCAGATTGCGTCGGGCCCAATGCACTTTGGGATGAATTGTGTATGACTTTTCTAATGTTTGCCACATGATTACTCTAACGGGATTATCAAGTTCTTGGCCTGTCTCAGCAATAGGTGTTATTATCCTTAACTTTATCAAACTCAATTTCCTTTGAAAGATTAGACAGGAAATGAGCATAGCTGGCAGCCAAAAAGCAAGAACTACCCTATTTTTTTCCAAGACACTTTAAACTTTAATTTGTTTGAAAGGCAAAGAGATCTTTCATCCATTGATTGGTGCTCCAGATATTCGGAGCAGTTGGAGCTGGGCCGGATGCTCAGAACACATCCAGGTCTCCAAAGTGGTTTGTAGGGACCAAGTGGTTGAGCCATTCCCCATTGACTCAAAGGGGCAGCTCTGAATCGGAGTAATGGGCTAATAGATGCTTTGTAGTTTGGGCTGGTGGTGTTGCACAACAGGTTAAGCCGCCACCTCAAGCCCAGTCACTGATGTGGATGCCCCTGAAGTTATCTGCTGTGCCATATGCTTGCCCTCTCCAAGATTTTACTATCTGCATCCTGTGCGGAGGCCTAGCGACTAAAGTCCTTGCCTTGAATGCGCTGGGATCCCATATGGGTGCCGGTTCTAATCTTGGTAGCCCCACTTCCCATCCAGCTCCCTGACTGTGGCCTGAGAAAACAGGATGGCCAAAAGCCTTAGGATCCTACACACACCCATGTGGGAGACCTGGAGGAGGTTCCTGGCTCCTGGCTTTGGATTGGCTCAGCACCAGCCGTTGGGGTCGCTTGGGGAGTGAGTCGTCGAACGGAAGACCTTCCTCTCTGTCTCTCCTCCTCTGTATCTTATTTGCAATAAAAGTAAATAAATCTTTTTTAAAAAAAAGGTTTTACTATCAGAGAGAGCTCCCATCCCATGGTTGGTTCTCCAGTTGCCCCCACCAGCAGGCTAAAGCCAGGAACTAGAAGCTCAGTCTGGGTAAACCATGTGAGTGGCAGAGACCCAAGTACGTGGGCCATTGCCTCCCAAGGTTATCGGGAAACCTCAGTTGAGATTGAATCCAGGCACTCTGACCTGAAACAGACATTTTATCTAGAGTCTTAAGCAATAGGCCAAATGCTTACCCCAACTAACCCAATCATAGTGCTTGAGTGGAAATGTCTAAATTATAAATCTGTCCACACTGCTTTTCGAAAACACAACTGGAGTAAAATGTCTGGACACATTTTTCACCTAGTTTGGTATCCGAGTGAGCAGTTAAAATGTGACGGATGATGGGATGGGGGCTGAAAGTTGTACATCAACTCCCGTTTAGAATATGCTTCCTGCCAGTTGTTTATATGCCAGGAGGAACACATGCGGCCTTACAAAGTAACCCACTGCTGTGCGTTTATGTAAAGGATGATTATCCCAGCTGGATTTATTTTTAAAAAGCTTGTTTGTGAAAGAGATCAGACTGTATGACTGAATTCTCCCAGAATGCTCACACTGGAAGTTCAGGGTTAATAGTTTCTGTTAACCGAAGTTGATAAACTACCATGAAGAGGATCAAATCCAACGCCTAGTTTTTCCTGTCTTAATTTTTTTAATGTAAAGAAATTGGCAATAGTGACAATATGTGTCCTACCAGGTCTAAAATGTTAATCTCTGACACATACAGGAAAAACTCACAGCCAATTACAAAGTAGGACCTAGAAGCTAACTTAAAATTTGTTTCTCAGGAGAATGAAGATGGCAGAATAGGGTAAGGACACGTTTAAACGGATGGAGGAACATTACCCAGTGTGAAGCAGAGAGGGCACATTCCAGGAAACAGGAAAAGACAGAACAGCAAAAGAACGCAGCGGACAAAATGCTGTGGTGTTGCTGTGACCAAACCACAGCAGCATTCAGTAAACAACTATCTGAATTTCACCAGCAGCCAGGTGAGAAGGGGTGTACATCGGGAGCTCAGGAGGTGAACCCAGAGAAAAAACTGTTCATCCTACTGGTTTATTTGATTTGATCAGGAAAGGAGACAGAGCAGCAGTTCCCAGACTGGCAGTGCTGAAACAGGAAGGATTTCAAAAGCCAGTCCACTATCTAGAGCCAAATTGGGTGACATTTAGCATAAGAAGGCAAAGGCTGTGGGGCAGGACTGAGCATGCACCGAGCTGGGAGTGAACCCATTTCTGGCTCAGTGAACTGCAACAACATGGCATC